TCTTTAACACAATATTTATATCAGGTGATGTTGGTCGACAAGGTATAATTATATCACCGAATTCATCTTGAGTCAGATTAGAACCTACATTCAGTAGTAAATGTGTGGCACCTATATATTTTATAAGGTATTAACTAAAAATAAATAATCAATAAACGATATTACAATAAATTTTAAGAGTAAGAAACTTATTTGTGCATATATTAATATACTTTTTAAATTTACGACAACTCGTTTGCGCACAATATTGTGAACAATGAAAACCAACTATTAGATACAATTTTGGATGTACACTGTGTTTCGTATACTCTAAAAGCATAATGTTTGTTTTCAATCGTGGTTTCGCATCAAGTGAGGACAAAGTTGGTTTAGACAATTGCAAAAAAAAAAATACTCGAAAAATGATTCTGAGATTGAAAGGTGGCTTAAATACATTTTGGCTTATCATATTTAAATTTAAATGACGTTCCGGACGAATTTACTAAAATAATTTTAATAACGCAATGCAAAAATAAGTATGGATTTTTCAGACTACATATTATAATAATATATTGATTTTGGTGATAATTTTGAGCCAGAATTATGAGCTAGTGTACTAAATAATAACCCAAAAAAAAAATGAACGGAGCTGAACATTTTCACATGTACTTCAATAATCAATTGCATACTTTCCATTCTTATATTCACATTCAATTTTACATTATACATTTAATTAATTCATAAAAAAAAACAAAGAAAACTTCCGTATAAGAGAAATATTAAAACACAAAATTATACGAAAAAAATATATTCTGACTACAAATTCACAAAAATTGATATTTTAACATTTTTAAGGCAAGCACGTACCAATGAATAATAAAAATGTAGGTACATTATTTTAAAATATATAAATAAATAATTTTATAGACTTAATTATTTATTATATTTATTTTTAATTATATTATTTATTGAGTTATGTTAATAACTTGGTTGTGAAAATGATTGTAATTGTGATAATAATCATTAATTTTTTTTAAAGCTTTGATCAATTAAATAGCTCAAACAACATTTTTAAACCTGCCAGTTTATGACACCAGAATATGATTAGACAAAGAGTGTTAGGTCTTATAAAGGTCGAAAGAAAATATTTTAAGGGTATAATAATTTTTATATGTGGTTAGGATTCACTAAAAAAAAGATTTCTATTGTTCGTAAATCATGCATAAAGGAGTTGTGTTTTTGTGCGCAAATGAGTTGCAGCCATTTTAAGTATCTATTAATTTATTCAAAGATGAATTAATTACAATCTAAATTGTGTTATAAAAGCTCATTATTATAATATTAATCTCATATAGTTCCAGGAAAATATGTATTACAATGTTGTTTGCGATTTACATTACTTATTTCTTCAACTTGACATTTTTTTTTTGTATTTCATTCAAGAATTATCAAACTGCCAGTGCAAGAATAAAAAAACCTCTTTAACAGTAAAAACCATTTTAAAATTATTATTATATATCTGTATTAGGGTGGTCCTTATTTTTTGAATCGAAAAATTTGATGAGGAGTACCCCAAATTTTGTTCTATGTATTAAAACAATAACTATGACAAAGTTTGAGCGTGACAAGTTTACCCCTTCCCGTGCCTCAAAGGGGTTGAATTTTTATTAATTGGGGATGAATTACCATTTTTTGCATTTACTCTCTTAAATATTGATGTTACGCAAAAAACTTTAAGTACTATTATTGTAGCTATATGTATTTACTAAATAAAAGTTTCTCATAAATATGTTGTGAGGTTGATGGTTATCCGTTAATTTAAAAAAAACTGGTCAAAGTTAATGTCTTAGGAAATTTCATAAGTTTTTAGTTTTTGACCTCTAATTTCTGCAATATTTATGTTATGCAAAAATCTCTAAGTACTATTGTTGTAGCTATATATATTTACTAAATAAAAGTTTCTCATAAATATGTTGTAAGGTTGATGGTTTACCGTCAGTTAACAAGAAACCGGAATGTTTAACGATTTGCCCTAATTTTATTATTTTTTGTTAATAAATAATTTTAATTTTGTTTTTACAATAAATCGATATTTTTGATGACGATAATCAGTACATTGATATTTGTCCTCCGATAACATAATATTTAGACTATTAGTTGTGTATTTTTAGACTATGAAACCACAAACACATTATATCTTTGACTTATCGCATTTTTATCTACGAGCCATAGCCAAATAGTATTTCATAATAAATTGAAAAAGTGATTAATAGAACATAATATTAAATAATATTAAATTGCCATTATCCGTCAAACTGTCGGTTTGTTTAGACGTCCAGTGTTCACAATTGTGTCATAAGTTAGTGCGACTTTTCTACACAAAGTGTTATACGTTTCTTTTTTTTCTTTTTTACGTTTGATTTAAAAATGCCTCGTCAGTATATTTTCCTTTTAGGTAATATGGTTAATCAAATTACTGGAAATAAATTACCATCCAATGGAGACTGCCTTCGGGTATTATTTCATAACATGCGTGTTGTAAATTTAAATTTAAATGATAGTTCGGGCCTTGTTGCTGATGAATGCTTATTGTTTTGGAAAAAGGCAAGAATACCTACTCAACATCATTGTGATGTAGTTCGAAAAATAAAAAATGTATATGAAAGTTGGCGAAGCTTAGATAAAAATAAAACAAGAAAGTCTGCAACACAACAGTACAATGAAAAAAAATTTCAAAACTCATTAAATAATTTGTTTGATATTGCCCACAAAGATGCTTTCAATATAATTAAAATTGAAGAAGACAGGCAGTTTCTAACTTTACAAAGACAAGAAGGTCGTGTTGGGTATATGATAGGTGTGGACAAAAAATTATGTGCAGTTGAAGAACGAAGATCTGAGCGAGAGCAAAGGAGAGAATTGTTCAAGCAAACAAACATCGATTATGGAACCGGGTGAATTAATTTTGTCATTAAAAAAAAAAAAAATTATCTAATGATTTTTAACAATAATTTACCTAATATACAATATAAAGTTGACTATATCTATTATTTTTTTTTTCAGCCCAACTAACAGTGTTGATGTTGTGGAGAGTATATCAAGCGATGATGAACGTGATGTGCTTAACTCTAAAGATTCCGAAATTTGTGAAAGTATTACAATGCCAGTGAAAAATAAACGAGGTAGGAAAGAAATTATGAATAGTCGTTTAGCATCAGCTTTAGACAAATGTAAGGTTAGTGACAGGGATGCAGTTCACTTATTAATAGCATGTGCCGAGGTATTTAATGTAGATGTAAAAGACTATGCGATAAGTCGCTCTTCAATTAAGAGAGCTCGTGAAAGTTTTCGTTACCAAATATCTTCCGAAATTAAAACAGCGTTCCATCAATTAAACTTAAATTCTGTAGTTGTTCACTGGGATTCAAAAATACTTCCTAATTTGATTGGAACAGAAAATGTAGATAGATTACCAGTTATTATAACAGCACCAAACGTAGAACAACTTCTTGGAATACCACATTTGTCATCTGGTACCGGAAAGGAAATTTCTTCTGCAGTGTATGACACATAAAAGGATTGGGATATGTTGGAAAAAATGCAAGCGTTTGTTTTTGATACAACGGCATCCAACAGCGGCAGATTAAATGGATCATGTGTGCTATTAGAACAAATGTTAAACAGGCCAATAATGTTTTTGGCTTGTCGGCATCACATATTTGAAATTATTTTGCAATCAATTTTCTCATACTCAAAACTTACAATAATGTCCGGTCCCGATATTCTAATTTTTAAACCTTTTAAAAATAACTGGAATCAAATAGATACAACTAAATTTAGTACTTGGGTAAGTGATATTGGGGTCAAAAAAATATTGCATAAAGTAGTCGATGATGTTATAATATTTTGTAAAGATACCTTAAGCCAAAATCTACCAAGGGATGATTACAAAGAATTTTTGGAATTGGTAATAATTTTTTTGGGTGGGGTACCACCTAAAGGTATTCATTTTAGACGTCCAGGAGCTTATCATCTAGCTAGATGGATGTGCAAGGGAATATATTGTTTGAAAATATACATTTTTCAAGAACAATTTAAAATTACGAAAGCAGAAATTTCTTCGTTAAAAACTATTTGTTGTTTTATTGTAAAATGCTATATCGAGTTTTGGTTTAGGTCTCCTATAAGGGGCTTCAATAGCATTAGGAAATGCTATTGAAGCCCCTTATAACGATGTACTTTTTTTAAAAAAACTTGAAGACTATAAATCTGATGATAAGCGAGTGGCTGAGATCGCTATGAAAAAATTTATTTATCACTTATGGTATCTTGGAGAAGAAACCGCTTGTTTTTCGTTATTTGATGACAGGATTGATAATCAAATAAAAAAACAAATGGCTAAAAAACTACTAGAAAATGACGAGCTTGAGGACGATGAATTTACCACAGATATACAAAAAAAATATGTATTAAAAATTGGCGATGTATCACAATTTCTAAAACAGGACTTACCACTTGAATTATTGACGCATAAATCGAAAAATATATTCCAAAGGTTCAAATTAAGCATTGATTTCTTGCAACAAAATCCGGTAATTTGGCCAAATATTGATAGTTATAAAAAGGCCAAGAATATTTTACACCATATGAGCGTCATAAATGATGCAGCCGAACGTGGAGTCAAATTGATGGAAGATTTTAATACCAAATTTACGAAAAATGAAAATCAAAAGCAGTATGTATTGAAGGTAAGTTATATGTTAATAATTTACTAAAATAACTAGTGTCACTTAAGATTTATTTTTTTAGGTAGTACAAGAATACCGTAAAAAATATCCAGGCCATAGTAAAAATATGTTGACCAAAGATGCAATAAAATAGTAAAGTTACTATATTTCTATTCTTTTTTTCTTCTTTTTTTAATGTAAAATGTTAAAAATTAAATAATAATAGTATAAAAATGTTATTTTTATATTTTATATAAAAAATGATTATGTTTCAAAAATCGTCAAGAAACCTTATTAATATAGCATAGTACGTTCTATAACAAAATGTATGTACGATTTTTGAATAACTTTAAAATTTAAGAGATAAGAGAAAAAAATAAAAATTATGAAATTTCCTAAGACATTAACTTTGACCAGTTTTTTTTAAATTAACGGATAACCATCAACCTCACAACATATTTATGAGAAACTTTTATTTAGTAAATACATATAGCTACAATAATAGTACTTATAATTTTTTGCGTAACATCAATATTTAAGAAAGTAAATGCAAAAAATGGTAATTCATCCCCAATTAATAAAAATTCAACCCCTTTGAGGCACGGGAAGGGGTAAACATATCACGCCCAAACTTTGTCACAATTATTGTTTTAATACATAGAACAAAATTTGGGGTACTCGTCATCAATTTTCAAAAAAAAAAAATTGACCTCTATAGTTAAGGACCACCCTAATCTGTATATATAAAACAGTAAGCTGATTGACTGCTATCAACGCACAGCTCAAACCATTGGACAGATCTGGCTGAAATTTGGCATACAGATAGCTATTATAATGTAGACGTGCGCTAAGAAAGGATTTTTCGAAATTTTAAATTTAAAGGATTGAAATTGGTTTAATATTTTTTGACCAGGTCGATAACTGCGCTATTGAAAATTAATTATATTAAATAAAACAATTAAAAAATTATTAAAAAACTATTAAAAACTATTTAAAAACTATTAATTTTATTTTTGGTAGTAAATGACGGGTGTTGCATAAATATTAAACAAAAAGATCCCGCAACAGGTGCCAAAACAAATAAGAATGTTAGTTCAAAAAATTATTATGCATATCGGTTGATGATGATTAGACGCGATCAGGACTAAGTTATTTTACGATGCATAAGCTTTGTCAACAATTCATGGTCGAAATATATATAAAGATGGATAGCGAACGATTTCGATACTTCGATTTCGATTCAATCAAAAAAAGCTGCGTGCAAAAGATTCTCAAAACAATTGTTAGATATTGGAGATGGGAAAGTTACTACAGATTAAACGGGATGTATAAAATTACCGAACGATTTCTGCACAATCATTTATTCGCAAGATGCTCTCATTGACCAGATATGTCCCAGTGTACACAGACAATACACAAATCATGAGTGGCTGGCAGAAAGAGCAATTTTAGTAGCAAAAAATGAGGAGGTCAACGAATTGAATCTCAAGATACAAAATTTGTTACCAGAAAACTTGGTGTCATACAAATCTGGATACAGTTTGCGATGCTACTGAAGTTGTAAATTATCCAACAGAGTTTTTAAACTCATTGGATTTACTAGGCATGCCACCGCATAATTTACAATTGATCATTACAATTTACCATCGATAAAATACCTCCTTCAGAGTCATTTAAAGTTGTAATACATGCAGATAAAAAACCACCAGAAGAACATAGAGGCAGGTATAATGCACCAACGGCAAATGAAGTTGCTTTAGTGTTAGTAGATCAGAAGTTTGATCGAAGAGACATCATCCTCGAATACCGAAGTAACTTACTTCACCGTATTAGTGAGATACATCGAGCATACGACGCACTGCAGTATCCTTTAATGTTTTGTTGGGGGGATGATGGGTATGCAATCAATATACTACAACGCGATCCAAAAACCAAGTTACCGCTTAAAAAAACTGTCTCTGCATCAAGTTTTTACTCATATTGAATAATGGTCAGAGAAGGGGAAGACAACTATTTAGTTAATTATCGTTCTCTTTTCAGTCAATATTTGGTAGATGAATACGCCAAAATTGAAACTGAAAGGCTAAATTACATCAAAAACAACCAAGCCAAATTGCGTGCAGATAGTTATATTCATTTAAAAGATGCGATTGGACGACGAGACATAGAAGCTAATCAGTTAGGCCAAATGGTTATACTCCCGTCAACTTTTACTGGTGGACCAAGGTACATGCACGAAAGAACACAAGATGCTATGACCTACGTTAGACATTACGGTCGTCCTGACCTTTTTATTACTTTTACATGTAATCCTCGCTGGGACGAGATAAAAGAGCTCTTACTTCCCGGTCAAAGATCATATGATCGACATGATATAATTGCAAAAGTGTTTCGGTTAAAAGTCAAAAAGACCATGAACTTATTGACAAAATGTAAAATATTCGGAGAAGTGAGATGCTATATGTATTCAACAGAATACCAAACTGTAGAGAGGTTCACGTAGTTGTAAGCTATAACTTATCGAATAGGTTATGATAATAACTAAATTAATATGTATAAAATATTATTTCAAAAATCTTAATTAATTTAAATTTCAATAGATTTAACAAAATTTAATCTTGGCAGGTTACATACATTTATATACTTAAACCCGGCAACGACGGGTAATTCAGCTAGTATTTAAATATACTAGAATGAAAAACAATAATTTATTATTTTACTGTAATTTTTTTTCCTTTTATTCAGAATACATGGAATCATTCAAATATTGACATAAATTAGATTATATTCATATATTTAATACAAACTAGGTACTTACTTCGTACGAATAAATAAATGTTTTCAGAATTGATTGAATCTGATTTCCGGTCTCCAGACAATGGAACGCAGTAATAATATCCAATATTTAAATAACTGACTCTATTAAGCATTAATAGAGATACATTTTTTGTATTAGCTTCTGATTGTAATATTTTGATAGAAGAGTTCTGTACAAAAGCAATAACTTCTAATATTAAATAAATAATATGATTTTTCAGAACTTGAATATAGTTAAAAATATTACTAAAGCCCAAATCAATTTTTTTTTTTTACTTAACTGTGCAATTATTTAAGCGAAATATGTTTTTTTTATAGCACACATTTGCTTTTTTTTTTTATAAAAGTATATGCGAAGGTAAATGCAAAAAAATCTTGAATTGTTTCTATAAAAGTTGTCTGCACTAATTGGGACCGAAAGGCGGTACGGATAATTGATTTGTACAAATAATTAAATAACCATTAAACATTTTAAAATAAAGTTAAAAACGAATTTACTTGATATAAAACTAAACAAAATATTCATTAATTTTCATTGATGATTCTTACTCTGTCCGCATTGAAAAAAGGGTTACTTTCGGGTATGATCCATTTTACAGGTTCATTTCCTTGACATTTTATGACGTAATTAGATTCTGATGTGACGGTGAGTTCAGGAACATTAGGTAATATTTTCAAATCTAAAGACAATAATGAAATGTAACATTGATTAAAAATTTAACCAAAAATATATTACACAATTTTATATTTTAATAATTTAAAAGAAAATCACTAAAATAATAATAAATAAATACTAAAAAACATTTTTATATGTTTAGTTTCTTTTCTCTATAATTAGATAGGAAAATATTCGTTATTGATAAAAAATAAATAGAAATAGGTATATAGAATAAATTCTGAAGTGTAAAATAATAATAAAGTCATTATTAATATTATGATTATCAACAGTTATTTAGGACAGAATAGATACAATTCATAATGAAAATTTTTATTCTATGATATTTATGTTTTCCTATTTTCTATATGAAAATTTTTATTTTCTATATGTATATTTACTATATGAAATCACAGTGGCTAATCTTACATATTTTTATATGTCATACATTAATGACATGCATTTCTGTATTTTCGCTCGTAGACCCCTATAGATGGGATTTGGTAAATTGAAACATAGCAAGTAAGTGGTTACATATTATGTAAGTTTCGATTTGAACAAAAATATATAGGTGTGTAAGTTTCTACAAGGGGTATACGTGAATTTATCGTTAATTATTCATCACAAAACAACTAAAGATATTAATTATATTACACGAAAATATATCACAAATTTAAAAGAACAATCTATCGAAAATTTATAGATCCTAAATCTTTTAATATTATAAATTTGTTGCCATTTAATCCATTTAATCTATATTTAATTTGTGAATTAAAGTGAACGTATAGTACAATTTTTCTTTATAATGAAGTATGATGATATAGTACTACAATCCGTTAACTCCTAAAACCGCACACTTTTGATAAAATACAGAACAAAACAGCAAATTTTTTGTAAGTTAGACCCGCACACATTTAATATATTAAAACCACATAATTTTTAAAATTGTTGTATCCAAAAACTGCACATTTTTTATTTCGACCCCAAAAATGTTATACTTACCTAGGTTAGGCATACTTAATAATTTATAATTTATTCAAACAAAAAAAAATACATTTATGATTATTCTAAAATGTAAAAAATATACCATATACTATGTATATATGTATGTATAAAAAATATACCTTATAGGTATACACAAGAGATAAGACCGATAAAACGAGTGATAACTGAGGTATTAAAACGTGTTAATATGATTATTGTAGTATATCTTTTAATCTTATCTTATCAGTTAGTTAACATTAAGAATAGTGTGCGGTTTTAACCACTATAATTTTGGGGTATTTAGTTACAATGACCGATAAAGTGTGCGGTTTTTGTCTATGGACCTTTTTCGGGTCAAAATCAAAAGTGTGTGTTTTTCGAATGCAACCCTATAATTATAGACATGTGTAGACCTGCGTTTCAGGGGTGACTGCAATAATTTCAGGCCCTATCTTAGCAAAACATGTAAGTACATGTAATAAATGATTAAATACCTAAACCTAACTTTAATTTTCAATTTGATATTGTGTGATATATTAATCCCAATCAATATGTTTTCCTTGAATCTTATATATTCTTCTCATATAGTTTCAATTATTTATGATTTGTACTTTTGTAGTCAACTGTAGCTGTTGTTTCATCAAAAAAAGTTTTCTCACGAAAATTTAGAACATTTAATTTTAGATTTTCCATTACGAAACATAATTTATCTTTTATCAAATATTTTAAAGTATATCACATTAAATAAGAGCAGCATCAGTATAAATAGTTAAAATACGGGTCCATTACTCTTAGACTAAAAACGTAGGGCCATATAAACAAAATTTCGGGAAGTGCCCGAGCACACACGGCACCCTCTGTGCGCTCGCTAATGGCTATAATGTATAGTACTAGATATGATAACGTTACAGATCAACTTTCCTCGAATATACTTTTAACTTCATAGACATATTTTGGAATCGTGCAGTGAATTTTGTATAAAATAATAAATAATTATTTCTCTAGAATATGTTTTAAGTGAGAAAAAATTTTTATTTACAAAGGTTTTTTATACGTCCAATGGACATTGTCCATACATGACATGTCACCATAAAAAAAATACATCGAAATGGAGCAGAACAGATAAAAAAAAAACCTCTAATAATAATACAAATATAAAATATATTTTGAATGGCATTGCACATAATTTTCAGGTAAGGTATAATTTATTTTTTATTCATAGGATGGCTATTTTTTCATATTATAAATTTAGTTTTAATATATTCAAATACTTTATTATATATCTATATGAACATTTTATTTTTAGATTTATTAAAAGGTGAGTTTTTATTTTGTGTTTATATAATAATATGTGACGTCATAATACTTAGTTTGTTTTAAAAATATTATATGGTCCACTAATTCCGTACAATAATTAAAGTAATTTACATGAAATATATCTTCGGAATAATAATATAATAATACATCAATAATTTGTGATCTATTTTTTTTAGGTAAATTATTTACGACAAAATGATGGGATACATCTAATATAAATAGAAATAAAAATATAAAATTTTCTAAGTGACATTTAAATGAAATTCATTACTTTTTTAACTATACACGCAACTGTACAAAAAGATATTTTTAAATTATTTTACGTAACTTTATTTATTGAATGTTCTATAGTCAATTTAAATTAAATTAGACACTAAATTATTTTTTTTTTTATAAAAAACAAAAACATTTTAATCATACCAACTACATTTTAGTTATTAATCCTAAGTGGTATAATAATTTATATTACCATATTTTTATTCGTGTAGGGCTTTACGTGTGTTAAATATATTTTTTTTTGTCATAATTTATCAACAAATATATTTTTTTTTCATGGTGGAGGATACCCATGGATAATTTTTGCGTGATATATCTTCTAATAGAATTTACATTCACCGTGTTGGACTTTCTAAAAATTATAATTACTAAGTTCACAACAATCAGTCAAAAAAAACAATAGGTTTGAAAGTAAAGTAATCATTTGATTAATTTTGAATCTGCGTTTATTAACTAATTTTTTTCAATCAAAATAGTAAAATATTCAAGTATTGTAAGAGCATGGAGAATAAAATTATTCAACAGAATTTTCGATTATAAAATATAAAATCCTATAAATGTATCTATATATAATTCTTATTAATTTATAAGCCTCTGTATATTATATTTTCATATTAAATTATACGATATCTCCGTACATACAGTATATATTATATTTTATTTTACGATGTTATATTATATTATTTTAGTATTTAAGACTCATCTTTAAATCGAAATTATCACCTTTTTTTTTTTTGTTTTTGCTGGAATTGATAAGATAGAACTAAATAATCATAATAACATACACACACCAACATTTAACTATTGTTAAAATATGATATATTATAGTAATTTATATGTATACATATTAGGTTATAAAATAAATCTCAATGAATAAAATAAAAATGTATATAAGATAAATAAAAAGTGTTTGTTACAAATGTTTAATTTTTTTTTTTGTAAGAAATAAGAACATTATATTATGGTGATAATAACAAAAATGACAGTTAATTACAAAGATTAAAATAAAAAAAATACAAAAAACAAAAAAAATTCTAGAAAATACGGATATTTGTAAAGCTCACACTTCTAAATTTTCAGACCAGTCTGCAGGATATGACTAAGAAAGGCTTTTATAATGATATCGTTATTGAAGGATATTACATTACACTGACGTACAAGAAATTTAAATAAAAAAAATTTAAAAATAGTAGTTGAGATGTGTTCTGTTAATTAAAAAAGTGGAACAGTTAAAGAGTAAATTATAAAAAAAAAAATACATATACTATAAGTTTTTTCTTTTTTAAAACTTTGAATATTATATTAATTTGGAAAAAAAATGAATATAATATTAATTATTAAAAAAAAATATACTTAAATATACGTTTTAATTTGACAACCATTGATCATGTAATAATATTTTGTGTGAACTGTATTTTTCGTAATTTTGATAATCAACCTTTTTAATTGCTAATATATAAATTTATAAATACATATATTATATCACGATACTTTTAAAATCTGTGTTTTAAAATTTCTAGTAGACACTTAATAGTATATTTGTACATAGGATTTGTTCAAAAAAAAAATATTAAGAAATATTTCTATCCTGTAACATTATTCAAATTGTTATGAATATGAAAAAATTACAGTTATCATAGGAAGATGAAGTAAAAAAATGACGTAAAGCTAAAGGAGTTGAATATCAACTGACGATTCTTGGCTATAGATATCTGTAATAGATTTAGTATTTGTTCTAATACTTACCAACAAACCGAACACGAAAAAGATAAAAAATAATAAATTATAATTAATAAATAAGTAACCAATTTTTAGATTACTAAACCATACATAGAAATAAGACAAACTTATGGCTATAATCTTATAATTTGCTCCTGACCAACATTTTAATAATATTATAACATTGAAGTACTCACCAATTGAAAAAGCAGAACTCGAGAAAGCGACACACAATATGTAAATATAGTAATTCATTCTGTTTGATATTTTAATATCTTATTTAATATTAAATTATTCTTATTAATTTTCCATTTCTAATGCAACTTTGCTAAAAGTCGTGCTGTAAACAAATGAAAACGATAAATAATATAATATTGCCGTTTAGTAGACGGCAGTTGATGATTTTATCAATTTTCCATCTTATATTGAATAAATTAGTGTTTCAGTTAAAATTCTAAGTAATCTTACCATGATATTGTTTATCTCATTTAGTAAAAAATGAAAAATATCTGATGAAAGCTAAGTATTTTAAGAAAGTGTATAAATAATTAATTTTTTAATAAAAACTAAATGAAAAAATAAATTTATAACTATATTTGTCTCTGCAGTCCACCAGAATTTAGTGATTAAATACAGTTATTTTAACCTATGACATATACTATGATTATAAGAACTTATAGATAAAAGTACAGGAAAATGTTCAAAATTAGTCAACCGACGATAAAAAACCGTGATGAAAATTTGTTGGTTCGATCGCTGTCCCCTTCAAAAATATGATTTCAAATAAATATAATACTTTAATAACATGTTTACATTTATTTGCAATTGATATCTTTATAGCTATTTCAATAAATTGATATTGATTCGCGTACCAAATTCTAATATTTTGTACTAGGAAATATGGTCGCGCTGAGCGAATGCGGAAGTGTTTAAAAGCATGGGGCCGGAAATCTAATTGAATGATATTAAAATCAGCAAGCGTTATATTAACAATTCTCATTATATTCATATGTATACATATTTATAAGTATAAAATAAGTGATTAAACATAAACGGTAGTAGACAGACATATATATAATAATAATAACGGTTAATAATATAAAATATATAAAACTTACAACACCGTGGTAACACAAGTATGGTGTTGAGATCTGTTAACTATTGAATTTATCTGATGATGCTGTGATTAATTTAAAATAATATTAATACGACTTGCACACGAATTAAAGGCGATAATTACAAAAAAAAAAAAACAATTTTTCGCTGCAAAAACCGGTGAATCCGCACGATACTCGAATTCAATTGATATGATGTCTGATCGCGACGTTGCATATCAACTATAATAACGCCAAGAGCTACTTGTATCGATGGATGATGACCTCACCAAACTCAATCATACCCGGGCTCCTTCAATTCATTTACGCAACTAATATTACGTATATTCAAAAAAAAAAATGTTATATGATTGTACATTGTCCAAAACTAAAGTGAAGTGCATGTAAAATAATAATCTACGATTAAATTATTAATCATTATATTTTAAATTTTCTAATGTTACTAGTACCTATAAAAATACAAAAAAAAAAAAAAACCAAAACATTTTGATTATAATTTTATTAATTTTGTTCAATTCCTTATTTAAATAAAAATAAAAGTTTACTGAAACATTGTAATTTTCAATAAATGTTGATTTTGATTTCCGTTTATTGTTAATTTTTCATTTCAGCCGCATTCCTTAATATTTTCTAGTTAAAGTTTTTAAATTATGTATTTAAAAAAGGTTGAATTAATACATTGCTTTTTATGTCAGTTCCTAGTTTGAAAAATTCTCAAATTTGTCGGATATTTAAATATTAATTTTCTGGTTTTTAGATTTCGTTTTTCTGCCCCTGATGAATATTTTCTTAAAAACGTTGGAATAAATGACTATACAGTTAAATTATGTTTAAAACTTAATTTATAACAGGATACAAGGGGTAACCGTTTTATGTTAATTTAATGAATATTACGAATTTCTCAATTATTTTTCAAATAATTAAGAAAAACAAAAAGAGTTATAACAACAATTAAACGGTCACTTTATTAGTAACGGTTTTTGAATAAATGAAAAATGATTTTCATTATAACTTAAAAAAATTATAATCGTAGAAATTTTACATTTTGATTGGATACTAATATAATTTTGCAGAGATTTTCTAATTTTAAAAGGTTTTTGATTTTATAAGAACTTGAAATTAGTTAAACATTTTCGAACTTTTGTTACAATACTCAAAGCGCAGCGTCAACATTCAATAATATCAGGCATTCACGTGTCATATTTTTAGGGATTATTTCTAATTAAAGGCGGCAACTGCGGTAATTGCTGATCCGAGAACGTCAATAAATGTGAATTAAATATCGATCACGTTTTCAACACACCACCCGCATGTTATGGACGCTAATATAATTGCTGACCCAGCTAGTAACAGGCGTAATATATAGTTGGATTATTTTGATGCCAATTGATAAAATACCACCAAAAGTGTGAACAGGGGATAGCTATAGGGCTTTCAATAAAATCAAATACTTTTTAAGGCTATCACATATTAAGTGCTCTTGGTATTGTAAATATCATAATATCATAATTTGTAATAAATCAATTATTTCGTTCAACTATAGGTTTTTTTTTTTTAAATAATCAACTCTAAATTTTAATATTTATTTTCAATATTAGTTTCGGTAAGTCGTATCTGTTTTTTTAATTGTATATGAACTTATATGAAATTATATTCAAACGCCTTGGGATCCATTTCTATTCTTCTTCAGCAATTAAAACTTTTATATTCTAATAAAAAATATAAGTTTAATAATTTCTTTTATATTTACATATGTGTCTTAGAGTGAGTAAATTATTTTTCATTACGTTTTTAACTACATTCCATCTGTCTTCCGGGCGCCAAGAGATCCTTTATTATTCTTATATACTATTTATAAGTTTTGATATTGATGAAATAAAAATTATAACTACAGTTGTGTTACTTAAACTACTTACTTTTTTATTATTTAGGTGTTGCTTTGGGTGTATAAAGAAGGCACTTGATGCGTGGAGGGCGCTAATGGGTCCAGATGGAGTTATGGGTGTGTTTGTGGATATTAATGTATACTTTTAAATTGATGTATGTATTTTGTATGTGAGATACATTTTACATAATACGTTTTTTTTAAAAAACTTAAAGACCATCTTGCTATATAAAAAATTTTCTTCAATATTCCCCTTTTTGTTTCTTCTACTTTTTTTTAACATAATACATTATAATATGAAATAAAAAGAAAAAATAAATATAAAAAATAACTTTTAAAGAAAACAAAAAAGTTATAACATGCAAATATATTGATATTTTAAGGAACAATAGATTTATTTAAATTAATAAACAATTTTTAAAATCATAATAGGTAACAAATTTGGCTGAAAAACTTGTATATACTATACATTTTGTATGACTACACTTAATATAATATTTTCGGACGGCTCTTATTATAATAAAATTAATGAAACAATTTTTGTTCATAATATTCCTTACTGTTGTTGATATTTTTTCATCAATTCTATATCTTTTGGAAAGCCAATAATATTTACATAGAATATTTTGTTAATCAACGATTGCAAGTTATCGGGTAGTAATCTGGAAGTAAATTATCATACAACTGTAATAAAGAGTTTGTTTACCAATATATTGAATGGAGGGTAATTATTTTTAATTGATCATGGTTTTAAAACTGAATAATGGGTTAAGCGTACCTGACGAAAGCGACTGGCAACATAAAATATTTGGGCACTGAAAAAATTCGTCGATTTTCTAGTATGCCATTCATGACGATATCACCAACAAAATACGTAGGCATTTCTGGTAATCTAAAATTTATATTTTCCAATAAAATAAGTCGTTCCTAATAATGCATGCATACCTTAGCTCTAAATGTTTCGAGATTTCCGGATTGGTCTCAATAAAGTATGGACACACTGTCGTAGATACTACGGCCGATTTCAATTCTCTCAATTCATTATGCAAACTCTCCATCATACCTAAACGTAACATTTCGGCAATGACGAAAATTTCCAAATAAATTATATAACATACATTTTTTTTCTTTATTAAAATTACATTTTAATTAATCTATAAATAATTTAAATATTTGTAATTTTGGACTCGATAATTTCAACGTGCGACAAATCGACGAAATCATTTAACGAATGATTATTGGATGCATTTTTCATATCAATACATGTTATTTTGACGCAACTATATACGTTACGATAAATTACACCCATTGCAATCATTTTGCGTCGAACTCGCCACAAACATTTGAAATGCAACGAAATCACCGCGTTCAGATAAGACATCAGATAATTATTACTTATTTACCATTTGTCGCCCATTTGGTGGCCGTATAGGTTGATATTCCAGATAACCCACTCATCGATGACATGGAGGATATAGCGACGATTTGTCCTCGGTTTCTCTCCAGCATCGAGGGCAATATTTCCCTGTTCATCTGATTGATTTAAAAAAATAATACGAAAAAAAATAAAAATAATATCAGTATGATTTTCTTTTCTACGTTTTATGTATTCTTTTCTAATATCAAATGCTATTGGTTCGCGGTACAGAGTATCAGACACTAATTAAAAGTTATTTACTATTATAACATCACAGTAATCAGAATATACTCACCCAAATTTGACCAAGAAGATTAACATCAATCAAATCCTTTATGAGCTCATCGGATTCAGGATTGACATACATATGAGCCAAAACGATACCTGCATTGTTGACTAATATGTCTACAGGACCAAATTCTTTCCTTACAGCTGCGTGCATAGCTTTAATCTGTTGTCGATCGGTCACGTCGACTTGGTAACTCATAGCCGTTCCACCTTGTTGAATGATCGCATTTGCGGTATCTGCGCATCCTTCTCCGTCGATATCGATGCAAATCACTTTGGCACCCAAAATATGGAATCTTTTACAAAGCTCACGACCCAAACCTCGAGCTGCTCCTGTAATCTGAATTAATTAAGTTTTAACACGTATTTCGATATTATTAATATGTGTTGTACGTATTATATTTTGAATGTTCAAAAAAAAAAAAAAAAAAACAAAAAAAACTGAAAGACGTTGAATACAAAAAATAAAGGAAACCATCGCCAGTTAAATATAGAACTCAAGTTACTGTCTTCATTTGAACGCAATAAGCAAACCATTGCAATTAACCAGTATATATTAGAGTCTAATTCGATTAAATTCTATATTTACATTTAAAATACTAATGACAATTTTTTTTTAATGCATATACTGTTTAGATATATTGGAAAGGTGCATTTAAAATAAAATAGTATATTCTTTTATTAAATTATGAAGTCCTAATTTACCCATTTTATCAAAATAAGTATATTGTGTTAATATAACACCATGTTTTACGAACGCATTTCACTGAAATTGAAACATTAAACATTCATTGGCTGGGTTGAATTTTTAAAAATGAATTTTAAAAATGCGCATACTTATACTCGTACAGTAAAATAATTATCAACAAAAGATTTCTGAAAGTTTTGAAATATAACTAGAATTTTATTTGAAAAACGAGCTTAAATAAAATGTTAAATTCTAAAAGTTAAAACTACAACTTATATAATATACATAAATTGGTTATGTTCAATACTAATTATAGTTAAAATCTTATTATTTTTAATCAATATAATAATAATAAAAATCTCAAAGTTAACACGGCTCCCTTGTTAACAACATGTATATACATAATAAGCATCACTAGCTGAGTTATTTGCTATAATCATATGTATTATTTATTCATTTAATTTTTAATTTATTGACATATTTTAGTTTATTTAAACTTTAAAAATCACTTATTTTTAATGAGCAATTAAATGCGGGTTATAAACAAATTGATAAATTGTATTTGAAACTGCTACATATAAAAAAAAAAATGTTCATTCATAATTCTTAATAAATTTAAAAATTAATCAATATAAGATAGTCAATGTTTGCACATAAACGCAAATTGCTATAATAACACTTATCATTCTGTAATTTTTATTTAGTTGAAAACACAAAGTTAAATATAACATAGACAACAAAAATATAACAGTTTTTAGGAGGTATACAATGTTTAATACTCACCATAACCACTTGTCCTCTTACATTTTTTTGTGGTGTTTTAAAAAACAATTTAATTACAGCCCAGAGAATAGCTGGTATTATTAATAAAATACATATTATTATTTCAAATATTAATCTCAATGGATTGGCTGGGATTTGTTTATATTGACGTTTAAAAATGATTTTACTTCCAACCGTCATATTGATGTATGATTAAATAAGTTATATGCTACGTGTAAATGTACAAACAATTGATGTGAAGGTTTTGAAATGAACTATAGCGACTGCAATCAAATGAGAAATAATCATACAACAGTTAAAATACGTTTATGTTATTCAATGACAAATGTGTATAAAAATTACTTGTAAATCATAATTAATTTTCATGTCATAATATACAAGGCAATGAATTACAAATTAATTTCACAGTTTATATAAAGAAATTGGCTCGAAGGTTAGAATAATGCAAAATGATTTAATGTTTTAAATCGAAATACAGATATTCCAATATTTATTTGATATTATTCTATTAATTCGTACTAAGGCTGAGATAGGTAGTTAATTTACCTGCTGCCAGTGACGTATTTTTAAATACTCAAGGGCCAGTGCCCCCCTTGGTATCTGTATTTTGTTATTATTAAATACAGATAAGGTTATAAATACAATGAATTTAAAATGTATACGTTCGATATTTTATGTATTGGGCCCCCTCTTCCATTAGTTGATAACTGATTATGCACTGCTTTCTGTAGAGACTTTTAACGTCTGACCTCGTTAAATATACGTGCACCTATGATATTGGAATAGTTAATAATGACAGAACGTAAGGAGAATACACAAATTATAACAAATTACTTTTATAAATAAAATATATAACAAGTATGCACGTAATATAAACCTGAATGCTTTAATATTGTTAATTTATATTGTTAGCTAATTCATCATTTGTTTAATGAAATAAAAAAGTCGGGTAGATACTGATCCAATCAGGATCCATAACAATCATAATTACTATGGAAATAAAATCATTGTATTCAGTGGCATATTTATAAACAATTTTTTTTTTCAAGGGGGAGGTGTCATCATAATTATTTTTATAAATCAGTAAAAAAAATGTCAAAATTAAATTTTCATCTGTTTTATTATCTTCTTATCGAAAATGTAATTTAATTGATAATAAACTATATGATGAATGCTAACTTCCTTCTTTTATTTGCCAATAACTCCATCGGTAGTAATATTACAAAATTGAATGGATCCATAACATAGTAAGGTCATTAACTCTTTTCTGAAAAAAAATGGATCTTCATCTAACTATTCCTCCAGTTTGGTGACAGCAATTTTCTGCGAATTACAGACTACAGCAATAGACATTAGCCTGTGAAGTGTATAATGTGTTTTGACTCGCACAGTCTAAACACCAGTATTATCGTACTCAAGTTTTTTTAGTTTTTATAAAATATAGTTTATAAAATTAATAAAATTTATAAATTTTAAATTTTTTCTTTATTCGAATTTACAAAATGAACAAACTTCAATTAATCGAAATTTAAACATTTGAAGTCTAGAAATTATCTGTGGGAGGGGTGGAAACCCCAACCCACCCATAAATACACCACTGATTGTATTATCAAAAATAAACCATAAAAGTCTCGCAAGTTATTATTACGTTTTGCATTATGTGTATTAAAGCAATTAATAAATATACTTCTTATATAATGATATAGAATAATTTAATAAAAGAGTATAGTTTCAATTTTATCGATTTCGTTTCATAGTCTTTTGATTATACTTCCAAAAATAATGATATTACAAAGTATATCAATGCAAAATTAATAAGTACCTTATATGAGAATAAGTATATAAATACCAACTGATTTTAATTTCGACAGTGTAGAAACATACATATTTATTATGATGTAATATAATATAATTATTACAACTGTTAAGTACAATATGGAATACAATAATATTAAAATAACAAATCTTATTTTACTTGCATGATTTTAAACGTTTTTTTTTTATTTCAAAATTATTTTTAACTAAATTAAATCACAGTATTAGACAAATATTTTTAATATGCACATTTACTAATTAAAACTAATCTAAAAAATCATTTACACAACCTAATTAATTTTACAATGTTTAAGATGGATAATTTTTCATTCGTTCATTCTACGTTTTACAATTTAAACATTATTTTAAGATTAAAAAATATGTATTAAAACTGATTAATCCAGTAATTATCTAAAATATATTATAATAAAATTGTATGAAAACCGTTAATACATTTACGATAAAAACATGTACACATCTGTTTACTTAAATAAAAAATAGAACTAATTGAAATAATCGAATAAGACATAAAAAAAATATCTATAAATACCTATTCTTAAACTATACTTCAATAATATTAATGGAAATTGATAGTCGTTCTGGTATTTTGATTTTCATGTTATATTTCAATTGTAATAATTAATAATATTATAATAATAATATTCATTAAATCTGAATTTTTTAAGTTATAAATATATATATATAATAAAAGTATAATATTATTGTTTTATCCGAAACGAACGGACAGAGCAAATACGATTTCATGACTTGTCGACAATCGCACAGGGGTTAACATAATCCTATTATGACACAAAATCGGTTTTAAATACGTTTATATTAGTCGATGTGCGCGCGTTTATACTGCTATCGGCGGTGCGACGTCTAACGATACCGAGGGCAGTGGTTTGCGGTCGCCGACCTTACGCATAACCGAAGAACCGTTGGATAGAACAGTGGTGTTCGGGGTCCCTGGTTTTATCACGGTTTTCACGGCGATAACGCTCTTCATGGTCGACACTGTTGCTGGATTTTCCATCGTCTTCACCGCGACCATTTCGGTCAGTTTCGGTGCCGATCTCGACACGATGGTCTCGTCGGGCTCACCGGCAGGCTTCTTCCTGAGGGGTTGCATCTCTGTCGGTACAGCGCCCGTCTCGGACCCGTCTACCGCGGTTACCGCGGACGATGGTTTTTCCATCGTTTTCATGGCGATCATTTCGGTGACGACAACACCGTCCGATGACGGTACGCCGACGTTCCCTGTCGCACTGCTCTTGGTCGCGGTGTCTGCGGCTGCGAGTTTTGGCACCACCTTGGACGTTCCCGCGGAAGTCGGTTTCGCCACGGCTTTCATGGCAACCATTTCGACGGGCTCGACGTCTGCTCCCGTGACCCCGCCGCTCTTTTCGTCCGCTGACGATATGGACTTCTCTACGTCCGTGGATTTCAACGCGGATTTGTTTTCCGTCCCTGTTGCCGTACTCGTTGGTACCGCGTGTTTTTCCGGCTTTTCGACGGCGTTTGATTTCTCGCTGGAGATCACGATTTCTTCGGCTTTCGCCGCGACCGTTGCCGTTTCTTCGGTTTTCTTAGTCTCGTCACTGGCCGTTTTCACGTCCGGCGACCACAATACAGCCGACGGTTCGTTTTTGATCGGCTTAACGTCGGCCTGTACCTCGTCCAAATCGTCTGGAATCGCAGTCGACGATCCCGCATGTTTTTCCACGGTGTTCACGATCACCATTTCCGTCAGACCGGTTACGGCTTCCGAGACCGCGAATTTGTCGTCGGCCACCGCAACCACATCACCAGCTTCCACCGCATGGTCACCTGCGGGAACGTTTGTAGGCGTCACGTAAAGAAGGTCGCTTGTACTCACGGTTTTCCGATTAGCCGACTCGACGAGCCGGTCGTTCAAGTCAGGCTCGGCGAACACGGCCGTCTTCTCTGGTCCGGTAGAAACCGACGGCAGCACATCACCCTGTGCAATCTCTTCGGGTCCTTGGGCAACTTCTTCGTATCCCTGGGAAGAGCTACCGGGGGACGGTGCTATCTCGCCATATGGTACTTCCGGTCTCTCCGTAGTGGTGGAGGTAGTGGTAGTCGTCGTGGTAGTCGTGCTGCAGTTCTTTTGCTTCTTTTTCGAATGTCCACCGACGCCGCCGCCGTTACGCCGTCCGAATATCTTGAACAGCCCGGGGGTCAGTGCGGTCCTCTGCGCGAACAATTCGCTTCCGGGCAACAGCAGCACGGCTACATCGTCCAGGTCGACCCGCAGATTGTATTCACCGTGCTGGCGCTGGTCGTACGTGACCGTGGGCGCGGCCCAGATCCCGGAGTCCCACAGGACCGCGGTGAGAACGCAAAAAATTCGCGACGCGATCATGTTGCCGGGCGTGACGTGCTGTGTCGTCTGGTCTACGGCTCTGCAGCGGCACGACTAGCCGCCGCGAGACGCGCGCGCTTAACGACCGGACAGGACGAACTGGAAATTACTGGTTTGGAAACGTGAAGGAAAAAAAAACCCGCCGGAACTTTGATTTCGCCCGGTCGAGTTCGTGCCGCGTGTACCGTTACGATATTTTACCGTATTACACTCCGCGAACGGTTAACCCGTTTGTACATATGCACACACGTATGTGTATTTATAAATTACCGACAGTCGGTTCACACGTGTACGTTTGTAAATGTATTTAAACGTACGCGCGTCGTTTTTACAGCATTTGAACGGTCAACGAACCTGCGCAGCCGTGATAATGACCTTTACGATCCCGAGTGTTACCGAGAAAACCGAGTAGGTGACAATTATAAATACAAAACCCGTTCCTAAAAATCATTAACTTGTTTGTACATAACACGAGTTTATTATTACTACCTAGCTGAATTACCCGTTGCTGCCGGGTTACGGTAAAAAAAATAGTTGAATAATTGTATATAATAAATAAATATAAAGGATGTATCATGTATACATCGTTAGAATAATGTGTAATCAACATATAGGAAAAACATAAAATGGAAAATAATTTAATTTCTTAAGCTTTATTTACATTTATAGATACATTAATAGATTTACATTTATAGATACTATAGAAGGTATACACAATATATTTATAAACGGGAAAACTGTAAATATTTCACCCAAAACAAAAAAATTGATAAACAAATGAAGTTCAACAAATTTGTATATTATTATAGAATTTCTTTATAAACTATATTCATTGTATCTTTTTTATTGTTTGGTATTATTTGTATTTTTAACTTTTCAAAAGATCTAACTCTGGACATGGCTACAAAAAGTTGACCATGACTAAATACAGGTTGGGCTAAATACAATCCTACTTTATTCAATGTTTGAACCTGCGTTTTGTTTATTGTCATAGCAAAAACTATTCTTATCGGAAATTGACGTTTGGTAAATGAAAAGGGAAGAGTTAAATCTGACGGGGTCAAATCAGTTCTAGGCAATAAAATACGCTGACTAATTCCTTGACCAGTTATAGATTCCAAGTCTAAAGAATGATCATACATTTTTCGTACAATAAATCTTATGCCATTCATTAGATTGAAGATGACATTTAAATTACAACTAGTAAAACTTGTCCAAAATTTCCTCCCAAGACAATAATTTTCCCACTAAAGAAAACGTCGTTTTCCATTATATCTTTTAATAATCGATCAACAACTATTAACGCATACGCACTTGCCATAGGAGCTTCGTCCCAAATAATAAGTTTTAATTTTCGAATAGTTGATGCCTCTTTGCTATTAACCTTTAATGATGAAATAGAAGTATCTGTCAAAATCAAAGGTAATTTAAATCGACTATGTACTGTGCGACCTCCAGATAATAACGTTGCTGCTATTCCAGTCCAAGTAACCGGAATTATATCGTAACCCATTTCTATACAATTGTTAATGAGGCATATATAGACGAATGTTTTCTCTGTACCACCAGGTCCATCAATAAAATATGCGTTAGGAACTCTTATATTTTCAAGACTCACATATTTCATAATAGTGCGTTTAATATCACGTTGTTTTGATTTGCGCTATCAATTAAATCATGTTGAATAGATAATGTTAATTTATCAATACGGCAAACTTTATACTTCTAATAACTATTAAAATAATTATTTTTTTGGACTTTTCTCTTTTGATGGCTCATTTACACACCGAGTAATTTCGATAGGAAAAAAAAATAAAAATCTGTCCAATAGAACTTCAGATATAACTGTCATAAGAAATCGCCTCACATTTTTATAATACATATAAAGATTATTTTATTTTATTTTATTTTACGCTCATGCTATGTTAAAAACAATTCGACTGCGGATGTACTGTAACGATGCGTTTCATCTTAAGTACGCAATGTATGTAAATCGTGACTACATATTATTTTTTTACGATTAGATTGATCTTTTGGTTCTCTTCAACTCGTTTGGATGAAAAACATCAACCATAATTCTATAAAATAGTATTAAAATAATACTTGTACATTCATTTAGCCGTTTAAAATATATACCATTATCTGACCATATTACACCACTTACGATTCTGTTAAAAAACAAATTATCAAATTTTAAGCAGTGCTAAGAAAATATTGTATATTTTATAAAAGTAAACACTAATAACAAAAATGTCTATGTAAGATATTTGTTTGTAATAATCTATGAGCTCGAGAAGTTGCAGTATGTATAAGTACATTCGACTCGTACCTGTGAGTTATTTTATATAATATTTACAGCACTGTTAAAATGTATACTTTTATACTGGTTCAACAAGTAATAATTTTTCAAGATGTCTATTTCGATCTGAACGTTTTATTTTATCATTTATTTTATCCATCGAGTATAATATAATGAATTTTCATTTCCATATAAGTAACAGAAGGTGTATAGACACAAACTTCCAGTGAAAATGATCAAATCCGAACAGAATATTTGAAAAAATTAGAAAACAATAATTGTTAAATAAAATCGTAACCCTCACAATCGTATCTTGTCGATCTGTATACGATAATATCATCTTGCAAAGAGGTAAACATGGTCAATTCGAGAACACATCTCCTGCTGTATTATTCTGTTTCTGCAACAGACTTACGAATCCGTTACTCGTACATGTTAATCGCAATGACGTATTATTATTTTTTTTCTACACTAACGGAGATAATACACGACGACACGTGTATTTTTCATTTGGATTATCTTGCGTGAATTTCGATGAATCGATTCGTCCATCTTGGAAATGGTTGTCGGGATTATTTTTCACACGGTACTCCGTAAAGTTCACGACCATACTATTATTGTTATTATAATATTTTTTTTCCCCCCTTTACGGTTATACCTTCTATTCGGACTATTAATGATTATACCGCCAACGCATATTATGCACGCATCATTAGTCGACAGCAACGTGTGTACGCAAAAAATACTTGTAGTTGACTTGGTGTATGACGCTGTAGTTTGATTATACACTTATATACATATAAACAGGGCAAGGATTTGTATGCAATAAAAAAATATAAAATATGTACTTTATTTACCAAAATATGTAAAAATATGCGTTTAAATTTTTATAAGATAAACACAAAAATATAGTTACAAAAAAAAATATTTATTTATTGAAATTCATCAGTGGTTAACTGTTTATCTTAATGTAATATAACTGAGAAATAAAATAAAATATTTATTATATAAATTACCTATACTTTGATCAGCAAGGCTAGAATTAAATAATAAATATAAATATTAAATTATAAATATTAATTACGAAATATACTATAAAATATTGTTTTTTCGCATTATTATTACAACCGAAATACGCAATAATATACATTTTATTCAAAATATGTAAAAACATGCGAAATAAAAACATCACCATTTATCTCATCATATGGTGATTCGTAGACATTACAGACAAAATCAATAATCAGAAGTCACAAAAAAAAACCATGCTGTTAAATACAAATCCTAGTCCTGCATGAATATAGTTTTCAATAAAAATTTTAAGCATACAGGATAATATACGTTTTTCCTATAGGTACGTGTTGATGTATTCGAGAAAAATATGTTTAGAAGTATTGCACGGCCCAGACTATAAGTACGTTAGAACTCTATCTGTTTATTACTTAAACGCATCGCAGTATAATATTTTCCACGTGCACGACGGTAAAACGTAATAAATCGATTTGAAAAAAAAAATAAATACTAGTGCAGGTCATGTACTCCAATATTTGACCGAGTTATATTTCTTTGTAGTGTATACACTACAAGACGGTAGGAACGTCGCGGTGAATGATGATGTTTGTTGGATAATGTTGCAGCAGTTCAATGTGACGACTTCAAACAAAAATGAACGGGGGGGGGGGGGGGGAGAAATTAAACCGAATCGAATAATATTTGCCGAACGTCTCTCTATTGATCTTGATCGGTGTTGGCGGCACCGGTGGATGAATCGTCGGAATAACGTCAAACCGTCTAGACAATCACGCGCGGACACGTATATAGTGTATCGTGTACCCATACCCGTCTGAGTATTGTGCCACAAATACAATATAATATGTGTTGCGTCCCGGTGTGTCGGACGATTCGATAAACAATATATATATATATATATATATATATATATATACGTATTACAGTACAAAAGAAAGAGACCCAAAATGTGACATGGATCGCGTCCGGGAAATAGAAAAACGTAATAATATTTTTACGACGATCGACGAGATCGATTTGACGCCATCGACACCGTGGCCGTTGTCGTCGTAATCGTCTTGATATCGCAGTTATCTGTTATTATTTCGTGTACCTAATCAATTTTCAGTTTTCATTATATAGATAACGGTTTCGGAACACTAGTTCAACGTTATAATTTCAAAACTTAACGGCATATCTCATCACGAGTACTTGACGCGGTGATACGGGTTTCGAAAGATCTCGAACGAACAGCATATTTTTCACTTACATACGATCGATAAAATATCGTAATGCTTACCGACTAAAATTATGTCATTGTATTCACTGAATAACATATTTTCCCCAAAGGAGTTTACCTAATCGAACGACATTTTTCAACACGTAGTTCATCGGAACATGTTTTGTTGATAGTAAGAATTACCGTACACTTTTGGTAAACCTATTTTTGTGTATATCTACGTAGAGTAGCGTATATTCAATCTTGTTTTGGGAGGGGGGAGGAAGTTAACAAAAATAATCGTTATCTTTTTTTTTTCGTTACGCAGTTAAATAAGATAAATAACTGCTATAAATAGATATTATTTTATACTACTTTTTTACCAATTTACAGTTTACTTTTACATTACAGTAAATTAATAGCTATTGGAGTATAAAAACAGCATAGTTAACAAAACTTTTTAAACACCTATCAATATAATTATTTAATTATCATAACATTTGTATAGTTGTATATTTTAAGTTCAAAGCGTAATAATGAAACTACGAATATATTGCACGTCATCAATAATAAAACAATTTTTTATTTTGACCCTGGGGGGCTTGAACCCCCCCCCCCCCTATGTACGCCACTGCCTAAGTATAACAGTTTTCTACTTTTCTAACAAATCGGTAATATTATTATGTTTGTATTTAGTTGAATGAACTAAGAACGATTATCAATATATAATGTATATCATTTTATAGCTCTCTTTATTCACGTGTTTAGTTAAGGGTTTTTTTTTTTATATAGAATTATATTGATAAATAATAAATGTATGAAGATTTTTATTAAGCCTATGCTAGCGTTACACTATTAACGGAATAAAGAATCTATATTGATTTTAAAGTATACAATAGTTTGTAGACTTGATGAGTGTGATTTGATATCTCAAATCACTTTTTCAAGCACTAAAAATAATCCATACATATTTCATGAAAGTAGTGGTATAATCATAGAGGAGCAGTGGTAAGGCTGTATTTAAGGGGTGATTCGGAAGGGGAGGCAATGTCCACCCTTGAAATATTTAAGGGGGTGATAATATGTTTACGGTCATTCTAAATACAACCAAATAGATGTTTTTGTATTCTCAACGGAAAATTATTTTTGAGAAAAAAAAATTATAAAAAAATTAATGTTATATTTTATATTTGGATTTGATATTAATTGCAAATATTGTGTAATAGTGTAATGAAATAGGGAAAATTAATTGCGAGCGGTTTTGTGTTGAATAGCTGGAGATACTTATATTCGGTTTTAGACTTCAGGGAAAAAAGGCGGCAAAATGTTGCTGTTCCTGGGCGGAGAAATTTTAATACGGCCCTGGGCAGTAGGCCATGTTCCCTACAACATTTCAACGTATTTACTTATTTTTTTTTTATAGTTATACGTTTGAACATTTTTTTGCAGGTTAGTGCTCTTAATTTTTATCAATTTGTATGATTGTAACTTTTTTTCTTAGTCAGTTTTTACATTACTATGTATGTATTAATGTATCAGGTACGAACAAGGTTAGGTAAGAAAGATATTATACGGTTAGGAATATAAATCTGAAAAAATCCCAGAAGAAGAAGTTATTATTTTTTTCTTCAAAATCTTAACGGTATCTTTTATTATTAGATTGATAAAATTAATAAATTGTTAATTTTTAATTGTTGAGTAATTTTTTTAAAATTGTTTAACTTTGCCTCCATTTGTTTCTATTTTAAAATCCTGGCTACGCCACTGCATAAAATAAATACGATATTTATTGAATATTGTTGTAATATTAGTTCAAAAACAAACATGGGTTTTACTATTTATATATTAAAAAATAATTCCTAATTCCTTATTTTTCCTACTATTAGAAATATAAAAAATTACAAGAAATTACAAAAAATGTATAATAAAACTTTTATAATTTTTTTAATTGAGTAAATTTAATTCTTTCATATTTTCATCAGAATTAATTTTCAAATTCAAAAATGTATCATTATTCATTACTTTCGAACATTTTAAATAATAGAATGTTAAACAGGAATGAGATAACTAGTTGAAGCATATCCGTTTGCGACTATACATTTCTTATAAAATAATATTTTTATTCTATCGGGTTTTATTTATTATATTTATTATTATATTAATGTAATATATTAAGTTTTATGAAAAAAAACATTCTTAAATCCAATCACTTTTGTAGCTATACAAAAAAAAATAAAAAAAATACATACTTATTTTAACCGTTTCGGTGGGTGGAGAATCAATAAAAAAGAACGATTTCATTGTTCGAAATAGATCTCACAAAAATAATCAACTTACGTGAATACAACTCAAACTGGCCGTTTTTGTCCATCCAATTATAAATGTTTTTTTCTATAACTAGAATTCCTCACGTACGATTGACGATCGTGTGACGATTTTTTTGCCCTCCACACAATTTCTGTACGTACACTGATATCCCCAATTGACGGTCACGATTCCACTGCAAAGATTAATAAATCGAAAAACACATTGTCGATCAACGTGCACACTTACAGTTATAGAATAAAAAAAATTAACCGTAAAGACGGGCATTTTCTAGTTGCCAGAATTCTTGACGATGCATATTTGAAGACGCTCGAAAATTACTAACAAGTCCTAGTACAGAAATAGTTTATAAAAAGCAACTGTATAGTTATAAGTATATTAAATAAGAATAAAATGTTTACATGAAGGTTATTGCATACTACACGTATCTAATTTTGACAATTTTACCGTTAATTAGTTGAAAAAATTAATAAAAAGTTAAATGCACGTGCATTACATTATGAATCGATAAATGTTTAAGGAATATTTATACCAAGGGACATAATACGAGTATATGTATATACATGCATATATGAGTGTTTCATTATATTTGCTGTAACGTCACTAACAACTGCGATTAAACTCAAAATATAATTTCCTTAATGTAAATATTACTATAGTTTACTCAGTTGTTTCTCGTTTTATAACCGTTTATTAGATTGATTTTCAAGTTTGAGTAAATCTAAAAAATATATTACAGTAATATATTGACAAGAAAATGTACATAATAATAATTTAACACATAAAAACAAATAAACGTTATAAAATTAGCATTCACTGCGTCTCATAAATACGTATACTAATGTAAGATGTTCATAAATTTTACAGATCGACTTTGAAATAAATATTTAATAATTCGGCATTTATTCATTTCTGTCCACTATAGTATTGAACTTCATTTAAGTTATACGCAGTAAAAAAAATTTTGTAGAAATTTGCAATTCGAATACAATGTATAATTACACATCACTGGGGGGCTTCGTTGTATACGACATAAATTACATAGTCTTTACTACGTTTACACCGACCACCTCGGCGTAACACACATCGAACTTGCGTCTATATAAACCGATTGATTCATCTTCTATCCGCCATTCATATGTCCTACGAAGTATTCCACAAAGATAAATAATACTAATTGTACAATAATGTCCGAGTTTCCGAACGGAACAAAATCACAGTATGAAACGCATTGAAGTTGGCCCACATTTTTCAACAGCAACACGGCAGTGTTTCAGTACGTGTTAAGAAAAATTTATAAAAATAATTTAAAGTATTTTTTCCGGTTTTGGTCTGTTAAATAAAATAATTATACAAATAATAATTACGGAATCAAATACGAAATATAGTAGTAATATTTTTTAATATTTTAATAACCATAATAATATGTGATGTACAGATGCATAAGAAAGCAATAGCAGTCCAACACCATCATGATAACAATAGTTAAGGTACAAAAAACGAAGGTTGAAAGCTTATCTTTGAATAAAAAAAAATATTAATATATTATATTATAAGTATAATGAAAGTTCAACATGGAGAGAAACTATACTTGGCATGGATTATAATGACGGTGGTGTCCGTTGAAAAATAGTTAATCGTTCATCAGTTTAATCTTATTTAAAAATCATTTTTATGTACATATATAATGTGAATTTGTCTTATATATCTTACATCGTATACGAAAACCACGACGGGGTATCTGAATGCGAAAGTCATTGACATGGTTTAAGACTATGTATTGGAAGTAATGAAATAAAAGGATGCGATAAAAATAAAACGGACGAGAGGAGAGAAATCAATGTAATTTCGCACATCCTGTGTATTACGATTATATTTGTACATAAATATTTATGTACTATTGAATATTATTGATGTCATGCAAGATTTTTGTTATTATCATTCGTTGGCGGATAAATGAATATATTATAACGGAGCAGATACTCGAGACTTGATCCGTTAAAAAGTACATGTATACATTTATACACATATCTAATAATGAGTATGCATACGTAACACATGTATTACAGTTTGAAATTATACTATTTATTTTATTATTTTATTCAAAACTGTACAAGTTAAGACGTATTTATAAATCATTACCTATAAAGTGTAATACACACATACACAGGTTCGTCTACACGATTGATTGTGTTTAAATTAAAATGTAAGCGCGTGCAGTAAATGGCCACGGTCGAAAATAAGTAAAATCAAATTTATACGAAGTCACCGACACATAATAGTGTTTTAGAGTGCGTTTGAATCGAAAAGCGTCAAACGTGCGCGTGTTATAACTACCGAAATAGTAATGCACGAATCTCTGCAAATATGGTTGTACGTAAAAATCATACAATTTTATCCGGCGGGAATTGTGTGTACCGGTTTACCGATGCGATTCAAACCCCCCTGTACGTTTGCGTTTCCGACAGAAAATAATATTATAATTTCGTCGAGCACGCGCAGCAATTGAACCGATCCTCTGACCGATTCCTGATTATACGGTCATCGCACACTTGGCATGAAAAAAAAAAAGCAATCCTATAACCGGGTGATTTCCATATGAAGTCGTGATAATATAACGTTATTGTTAGGCTACCGATCGTAATATCTTATCGCTGCGGCTGCGGGTTAGGTTTACTGGTGCGAACTGGTCCACCGGATCGCAGCGGCGGGCGAACGCAGACCGACTTCGCAGTCGCGTTTCTGACGCGGTGCAGACGAGTCGTTTGCAGAGAGCTATCGTAGCGCGTCGAAACAATAATTTCGATATTCGTGAAGCAGCCGAGATCCCGCGAACTGGACCAGACTGGTACGCACAGGTTTTCGCGCAACCGTACCGCAGCACATGATCAATCACCCCAAGCCGACGTCCGGTCCGTTCGTGTTGAATTTGATATTTTTGATTTTTGATCCCCGACCTGTACATCATCAGCATACGGCTGCGAGCAGAAAACGTACACGTCGCAATCAAACATTGGAATCATGTACTCGCATCGACGGTGGTGTGCCGCGGTCCCGGTACTCTCGGCGCTCGTGATGATGGCACACGCCGCCACGATCAAGTTCGACCAGAGCCAGACGGGCGACTACAACTTGCAGATACACCTGAAGAACATCGAACTGTACGCGGTGTTCGACGATTCCGGCGGTAACGACGACGAAGTGAGTACACAACGTCAACGTATTTGACTCGAACGCATGGCAGCGCACGATCCTGTTTGTCTTATCGGTTTTTGTTGTGAGTGTATACCTATAACCTATAGGTACTGTTTTCAGTCGTTTTTGACCGTCTTAGCCGTACCGATTACGCGGTATATTATTTCCTAGTTCGCCGATAGTATCGTGTCCGATTTTTACCGTCCGGTTCCGATAACGTCGTAAAATACTTTTCGTGTTCCGAAAATAATAGCTCTGCAATAAGAAAAAACACGCGACTATAGTCGGTACAACCATGATTCGATAAGTCATAACAGTAATGAATTATCGAACCGGTATGGGTACTAAGAATTTACACTAACAATTAAAAAGAGCACACCTTAAGCGTATTCTGAAAGCGTTTAGGAAAGTATCGATTTCGCATACTATTTATAATAGATTGTGTATTTTTCTACGTGGGATCTCGTTCCGTTGTTATTCATGCGTTTGATTTTTAACTTTAATGTGTCTGCAGATTTGTATCATTGTACTTTTATTCGTGTTCACCTTTGAACTTTAAAATATTCTTGTACCAGTGGCGTACTTGTGAGGGGGGCATTTGCCCCCCCCCAAAAAAAATTTTTCGATGCCGTAATGCAAATTAATTGTTCAGCTTAAATAATGTAATTTATAAATATTTTTAATTTTCACTGATTATAATCGTGTTTGATAACAAGTTTTTGGTATCACTTATCAATGTAATATAAAATATCAATATTCGACCGAATTGGGATTAGGAGTGATGGTCACATATAGTAACTATTTTATAATGTAGTTATCATTGATATCAAGTAATCAACATGAGTTTTAAGTATTTAGTAATAATTTATAATAAAGTTTCAGGTTATATTACAACCATAAAAAATCGTGCAATTAATTTATGCCCCCCCCCCCCAAAAAAAATGTTTCAAGGGTACGCCACTGCCTTGCACCCGCTTAAACGACATATTTATCTTAAACTTGTATTTTTTTTCATTGTAAAAAAACTATGCGGAAACGCAATTATAAACTTAAAATGTTTACTTAAACGGTATACGTACCGTATCTTCCACGCATATGCATACATTTTGAATACGCGTACCGGTATACCGTTTATTTTGCAAATTATTACGTTTCGTCAATTCAAAATACGCAGTATTTTATGATATTCTAATATCTTGTTTGAGTACAAATACTTCTCGGTTAAGCACACTCCTACCTAATAAATACGTATAAACGACTTAGTACCAACTTAATACTTGTACATCATGTGTTGATCATGTTTGTATGTACATGAATACCGTTTTAATCGACCGCTCTGAAGACTTTAACGCCTGCAATTTATAGACAGTTGAAGTCTTAATAAAATAATATTCAGTGACAAGTATCATGAGAACGTTACACACACACACATATATATATACATAAAAACATATGAATAATGAATATAATAATAATTAAATATCGTCAATAATACAAGTGTACCATAATACATAAATATATGATACACATACAACCAGGGATGAGACCTTAATGATTTTAATGGTTCCGGTCCCGGTTCGGGTCTTTAAAATATTTTTTTAGGTGTTAAGGTTAAACTTCGGGATTTCATAAAGTTCAAAATTTAGCTTCCAATTAGAACCGGTTTCTAACCTTTATTTTCGTGTCTTTTTTTCAAACAAAAAATGTTAATACATGTATACAGTACATGTTAAATTAATTTAGGTAGCTACTGTTAAAGATTATACTTCATACGAAGGGCATAACTCACTGTCTATATTTTTTCGTGAGAGTATAGCTTAAAATTCTAATGAAGAACTCAAATTAGGTACTTAGATAAGTCTTTTTTCCAAAAAAAAAATTACAGATTAAATTATAGATCGATATATAATGAAGTAACTAATATAATATATATATATATATATATATATATATTATAATGTTTAGTAATTTTAACTAAATTAACTTAATAGTTTAACTAATATCATATTTAAATTATTTATATTTATCAATAAAGATTTTTATATTATACAACACCAAATCAATCACGTGTGGTGTATTCTGTGTAGTAATTTGTATACATTAAAATAAAAAACCAATCATAATTTTTGTAAAAGTAAAAATAACTTTTAAATTTATTCATACAAATTATTTTCCATTATCGACGTTATCATGTAACATACATTATATACATGCATTATTACACTATTAGTAATAATAATAATATACATCGGTTTTTACTTTCGTGTAATTCATATTATCGTTGTCCATTGTTGACCATCGTTGTCGGCTGTTACGGTCCCCGACATATGGACGATGCGACCAAAAATAACATTACATACTTACTACGTTATAATATTATATAAAATATAATATTTGTTTTTAAACAATATATTTTTAGTTTAAATGTTTAAAAGTTACTATTTAATTTCTAATACAGTGATTTATTTGTACTTAACTAATTGAAAACTGAAAAAACCCTAAAAAAGCGGTATTTTTAATTTTTTTTATAAAGGTTTCGTTTTTGGTTAGGGTCTTTTAAAAATGTAAAGTACAGGTTAC